CTAGTGTACTATGCCCCCGTCCTCCCACTGGTGTACTATGCCCCCCTCCCACTGGTGTACTATGCCCCCCTCCCACTGGTGTACTATGCCCCCCTCCCACTGGTGTACTATGCCCCCCTCCCACTGGTGTACCATGCCGCCTCTAGTGTACTATGCCCCCGTCCTCCCACTGGTGTACTCCGCCCTACTGGTGTACTATGCCCCCACTGGTGTACTACGCCCCCACTGGTGTACTATGCCCACACTGGTGTACTACGCCCCCCCCCACTGGTGTACTATGGCCCTCTGTAATCCAGGATAATAAATAAAAACAAGGCCAGCTTTCCGCCGTGAAAGTCCTCTGATCCGCCAATTAGTCTCCGGCAGCTGCCCGCTCGCCTGCCCCTCCCCCTGAGGATTACCTTTGTCTTTTAAGTTAACCAATCGTAATCCTCCCTCAGCCCCATTCTTCTGGAGGAAATTACAGCACACACACATACACACACACACATACACACACACACACATACACACACACGGGCGCTTTGACTGAGGTATCGCTGAGGCTCAACAAAGGATGATTACTTTTGGTATTCGATTCTTGCAAGCTTATTTTTGCAGCTAATGTATCACGTGATCTTACATCTAATGTATCACGTGACCCTCCGCCTAATGTATCACGTGATCTTCCTTCTATTGTATAACGTGGCCCTCCATATTATGTATCACGTGACCCTCCACCTAATGTATCACGTGACCCTCCATCTAATGTATCACGTGACATTCCATCTAATATATGGCTTTATATTTATTGTATGTATATATTCCGCCTATTTTTTCTCTTCCTGAAACTATACACGTTTTACACCAGTTTTGAACCGCAGATCAGAGATTAAAGAAATGAATACTGACTCCCCCACCCCCCCCCCCCCCCCCCCCCTCACTTCAATGTCCCGAGGCAGTGGAAGTAGCATCATTATTGTCACGATGCCGAATTAAAGACCAATGCATAAATTACAAGGACGTGACCTTTTGACCTTAAGCCAGCCAATGACGTTATTGTCAGCTCCGCGTGAGTGTGTGCACGAGTGCGCGTGCTTTTTGGACACGGATCACGTGACTATGATGTGTAAAGACAGACCTAGTGAACACATTGCTTCGGTATTGTGTGGGGGTGGGGGTGTGTAGGTGTGGGAGAGGGATTTGATATAGCGTGAGATCTCTCCATCAGACTAGAGGATGCCTCCTTGTGTAGGATCGTTGGCATCTAATGTGTGTGCGGGAGGTTGTGTGTGTGGGAGATTGAGTGTGTGGGGGGAAGTGTGTGGGATTTGATATAGCGTGAGATCTATCCATTAGACAAGAAGATGCCTCCTTGTGTAGGATCGTTGGCACCGAATGTGTGTGCGGGAGGTTGTGTGTGTGTGGGGGGGGAAGTGTGTGGGAGTTAATATAGTGTGAGATCCCTCCATTAGACAAGTGAACACCGAATGTGTGTGGGATAGGAAGTGGTGTGGGGGAGTGTGTGGGAGTTAACAGCGTGATATCCCTCCATTAGACAAGTAGACACCGAATGTGTGTGTGGAATAGGGAGTGGTGTGGGGGATGTGTGTGTGTGTCACCAATGGTGTTATGTATTGAATGTGGCAGCTGAGTCGTGTTATTGTTTATGGTACCTGTGTTTTGTTATCCTACTGTTGCTCCAAGTTTTAGTCAAGTTTCTATTTCAAGACGTTTTAATAACTACTATACTACAATGGTTCTTGCAATATAAAAAAAAAAAAAAAACAACAACTAAATATTGCACAAAGATTTTTTCCATAATGACGTCACACTCGAAGGGGGGAGGGGGTAATTTTGTGATGGTGTGTGTGATGAGGGGGAGAGGTTCAGATGGTGTGACGTCACACTTTTGCGTTATAAAAAAGCAATGTTAGAAACCGAATGTTTACCGGTATTTCGCGTTTTAGAAAACTGGTTTTAAAAATTTTGTAATAGTAATAGGAAATGATTAAAATACTCTATGTTGACATAGTTCAGACAAGACTTTGGAAAAAATATCGATGTTTTAAGAAAAAATTCAACTGCAATTTTGAGGAAGGGGGTAATCGGCTGAGGTGTGACGTCATTTTAGGGGGGGGGAGGGTGTCAGGCTTTTTGTGAATATGTGTGGGGGAGGGAGGAGGTAAAAATCGTCAATTAAAGCGTGACGTCATTTATGGATGACCACAAATGCCATTGTTCCTTAGAGTGGACTTGGTATCACAGAATGAGAAGGCACAACAACCTTATTTTGAGAACCGCTTATATTGATACAAGAACTGCCCTTGTAACTCTGTCGATATTTATAGGAATAATCCGGCAAGAATGACACTAAAATGCATTATAATTGCGCACTGCCGTTGTGATAGGCTAGCAGCATAGCATTTATTTTTTACATCGATGGAAATAATTTTTAATGGCTGTGATACTGAATGTAAATAACTACATTCTAAAACGAGGTCACAAGAATGTAGAGTTTGGCTATTTTAACCACATTTCATAGGCCGTGGTTTTAGTGGCTATTTTAACCACATTTCATAGGGCGTGGTGTTGTGGCTATTTTAACCACATTTCATAGGGCGTGGTGTTGTGGGTATTTTACCATTTTAAGGAATGTGATGCTGTGGCTATTTTAACCATATTTTAACGGATGTGGTATATTGGCTATTTTAACAACATTTCATGCACCTTGGTGTTGTGGCTATTTTACAATTTCAAGGAATGTGGTCTCTGGCTATTTTAACCATGTTTCAAGGACTGTGGTTTTGTGGCTATTTTAACCACTTCACGGGCGTGGTGTAGTTGCTATTTTATGTAATGCGCCTTTTGTACACATGTGGATCACATTTTTTGCGACAGTTGTCTGCGCATTAAAACTGGAGTAACTTGTATATATTTTTTTAGCGCAATTTCCATTCTGGAGAATTGCGTTTATTAACTCGTCTTTTCTGGGAATGAATGAATGTATGGATGTGTGTCCGCAGCTTTAAGTCGTATCTCCTCCTCAAACGAAGCAATATCGAGGACTAGTTCCAAAAGCAAATATGTTAAGCAAGTTACGAGGATGAACATAGGCCATAAAAATTCCTGGTTTCTTTCATGGATTTCCCGGAAAAGCCAAACAACCTCGAAAAAAAGCAGTTTTTGGCCCATATCTCGGCAACCAGACCACTTAGCGACTTGAAACATGTACCAATCGATTCTTGCCATAATTTAGAACAATATTGCCGAAGAAAGTTTTCAAAAATATCCTTTCGTTCGGTCACAAACAATTTTTTTAATTAATTAAAATTTGGACCGAATTAGTAGGCATTTTATGCAACCACACCACACGCGTCATCACGTTCAATAGCTGCGCCATCACGTTCAATGGCTGCGACGTCACGTTCGGTAGCTGGGCGCGCAATGGTTTTTAGTCATGTTACTCTATTGTAAATAAAACATGTAAAATACTGAAAAAAAATTTAATAAAAAACGTTTTAATAACTAACCAATGGTTTTACTAACCCTGCTCTTGATTTACGCTACGACAGAGCTATTTTTAGATAACACAAGGAAATTGCGCTAAAATTGTCACTAGACTTTTTTTAATTACTTGTTTTTAGAATGGCCAGATTTTGGCAGTTTCATGAGTCTGGAGGGGAGAGAGGCGGAGACGGTGTGATGAACGAAACCCTGCTTTATATACACTGACTGCGAACACGAATAACAATTATTTTCTTAACGAACGAAAGATAACGTTAGATTCTTAGATTCGAATTCCGCACTCATCCCTCTAAACACAATTCAATCGCCGGTACCAGCAGTTGAAGGGATCTTGTTGTGTTGTTTACAAGCTGTATGGCCGTCTCATCTTGTTACCACTGCGCATGTCTAAGATTAACCTCTTTAGAATTGTCTGGATATTCAAGACATTTTAAATCAATCACCGGTTACATTTTTTTGTATTTCCCCGTTACAGAAACCTGCACTCATCTTCATCCTGCCAACAGAAGACATATTGTTTCACCTTTGTCGTCTGTTGGCCCACCCCTCACGCGAGCACCCCCACCCCTCACACGAGCACCCCCACCCCTCACACGAGCACCCCCACCCCTCACACGAGCACCCCCACCCCCTAATGGATGTTGTAACAATACCCCCTAAACACGGGCCATTACCCTGTTGTACATATGTACATCTTAGAGGCCAAAAACAATAGCGGTCTCTCCAGGGGAGATCAATAATTAATGGCTGGTGGAGTAGACTTATATGGAAGATCTACGTGGGCGAGCTGTGTGTCTTTTTGTCTTCTTTAGCTTTAGCTTAATCCTTATCTGGACGTAGGTCAATGTATGTAGACGTGGGTAGAGAAATAAAAAGAAATAGAATCTTTTCCCGTATGTGCTCAAGACACATGGGGCAGATGAAGTAGAGTTCACCAGTTTCAGTGACCTCGACAAATAAGGAGATATTGTGATCTACGCCCAGCCGCTTTTCCTTTCCCTGACACGAGTCAGGTACTCACCTGAGCTGGGTCGACTCGGGGAAGTTCAACTAATTTGAACCCGGATTCGAACTCGAGACTTGAGGGTTGACTAGCTCACTAAACCACGCCATATATATATATATATATATATATATATATATATATATATATATATATATATATATATATATATATATATATATATATATATATATATATATATATATATATATATATATATATATATATATATATATATGTGTGTGTGTGTGTGTGTGTGTGTATGTGTGTGGGTTTGTTCCCTGAAGAATTCTTGAAATTGCGAGGTTTATTGGATGAAGACAAAAATGTATCGAAATAAGCTAGGTGCATAAAGTTGTCATGGGCTTTGAGTTGAAATGTAAATTGCTTTCACTAAAGATAAGATCTCCCAACGGACCATTCAGTGTTGTCATGCTGTTATATATTTTTTTCCTTCACTAACCCGATCGTTGTTTTCTTTTTTCTTCAGATGCTGGGTTTCAGGATGTGACGTTGAGCAATGGGCTGGCCTAATCCCTGAGCTGTGTCCTGGATTTGGATTAGGGCTTGTCACAATTTATCTACCGGCTGGATGTTGTGTGGGCTTGCGTGACGACTGGGAATTGATTTTTTTTGTTTCAAGAATAAAAGCGATAACGACGAGGCATTGATTTGTTTTGGGGGTAGATCAGTGTGGTTTTAAATTTAGATAAGATGATATTGGGGAGGTGTTGAAACTTTAGATGCCATGCACAGGAGAGTGGCATTTGTTTATAGGACTTATGATATGAGGGTGGCATTTGAATGAGAGGTCTCATGCACACGAGAGTGACATTTTACTGATAGGTCTCATGATCAGGAAGGTGGCATTTGACTGAGAGGTCTTTGACTGGCTGGAGTCATGTACAAGAGGGTGGGGCCTGTCTGGCGAATGTTTGCCGTGCACCGCTGCCGCTTCTGGCCCTGCCTGACGTCACTGGTGCTGACCATCGTCCTCCTGCAGGTCCTGCACATGGCCCTGCTCTCCAGGCTGGAGGAGAAGGAGGCCAAGGTCAAGGATACCAAGCTGGTGGGGCGGCAGCTCCAGGGGCGGATGTTCAAGACGGTGGCGGCGGAGATGGAGGAGCGCGTCAAAAACTCGTACCGGTTCGACAAAAGCGGGACGTACCACGTGCTGGACAACTTCCTGACGTCAGAGCACGTGATCTTGGGCCGGAACGAGTATGACGTCAGCATCGTGACGCAGTGCTCGTCCAGCCACATCCACCACCTGGCGGAGCTGAGCGAAAACTGGAACGGTCCCATTTCCGTTTCCGTCTTCACCTACGACGACGATTTCATCGAGACCGTCTCTCGTCTGCTCCACTTCCACTTCTGCAACGACCACATCTTCCGGCACGTGAGCTTCCACCTGGTGTACCCCATCAGCCGCTCGCCTCGGAACTTCGAAAGCCTGTCCAACCTGAAACTGTCCTGCACGGACAACCTGGACAACCCGGGTTTCCTGCAACCCGATTTCAAACACATCAACTACCAGAACCCGGATCTCGACTATCCCAACAACCTGCTCCGGAACCTCGCCATCAACTACGCCCAGACGCCTTACATATTCATGATCGACGTCGACATGGTGCCGTCTGAAAACTTACGGACTCAGTTCCAGAAATTCATGTCCCACACTTCAAAACGCACTCACCCCAACCTCACATCTGACGTCATCAACCCTCCCTCGTCCTCCCACTCCCTGTCCGCCTACGTTGTTCCAGTGTTCGAAGTCCGAGACACAGTTCGGATTCCGAAGAACAAACAGGAGCTGCTCGAACAATGGACGAGAGGGCAGGTTCGGCCATTCTACTGGGACGCCTGTCAGAAATGTCAGCGTCCAACGAACTATGACCGCTGGCGTGGGCTGGACAAGGGAGGGGAGGTCCAGGTGGGGTACACTGTGGGGAGGGAGGACCCCTGGGAACCGTTTTACATCGCCAAGACGTCGTTGCCGCTGTATGATGAACGCTTCAAACAGTATGGATTTAATAGAATCAGTCAGGTAGGCCGTCAACGTTTTTTTTATACATACACCGAACGCAACATAATCACATTGAACAATTTTTACATTAAAAACACATCAGTGAATACATCTTTACAGTGAATTTATCTTTACATTGAATACATTTTTACATTGAAAACATAATCTTTACACTGAACACATCATGTTTACATTAAACACATCTTCTTTACACTGAACACATCATGTTTACACTGAACACATCATCTTTACACTGAACACACCATCTTTACACTGAACACATCATCTTTACATTGAATACATCTTTACAATGAAGGCATCATCTTTATGTTGAACACATCATCGTTGCACGGAACACATCATCTTTTCACTGAACACATCATCTTTGTATGAACAAATCCTCTTTATATACAATCCTCATTAATCATCAAAACGTTCAATATTATGAACTCAGTTCTTTATTGAAATACACCCCTTTACATTTCTCAAACTAACAGCTGAACGTAAATCCCTTTTTTTAAAAAAAAATTCCTTCTTCCTTTTTGTCCCCTGGGGAACATAGGACAACAACAACCTCTCTTAACTAACACAGCAAAATAAATCGCAACGGTTTTTACCTCTAATGGAAGCTATTGTTCTTTAATTATCATAAATATTACTTCCATTTATTCCAATTAAAAACGTTGCTTTTTTCTTCTTCTCAGAAGCCGTCTGCTAACCTCAATAATAGCCATTACTTGCGTCCATTTTGTTTGAAATAGAAACATTTTTATATAAACAAATAACAGAAAGCATAAGAGCGGTGTAGAAATAATTCCCATTCAAGTTGTGGGCAAAGTTTTTCCAAAGTGCTCGAAGGCCTCAGCGATCTTAGGGAGGATCAGATCAGTGTTTCTTTCAGATTTTATCTCCGGAGTGGGGCGGGGGGGGGGGGGGCGCTTTTTTCTTGGGGCTTACCCGAAGAGATGTCCGAAAAAAACTCTGGATCAGATTGTTGCGTAGGACAGCTTGACCTAGCAGCTACCTAAAATACACATATATATGTAACACATGCAGCTGTATCTACACACTGTGACAACTCTTGATGGTCAGTCTTATATTCTACTACCCCCACTTCCCCCCTGTAGCGGAACATCCTAAACTAAAAGCTTAAGTCCTGTAGAAAGTGCACGCGGTAAATGGCAGTTGGGAATTGTTTTTGTAGCCGTTTTGTTTTTGTTCTAGCACACGGCATTTTGTACGTCTTCCTTCCTTACAAATTGAATTGTTTGGTTCATTTCATCTTGTTTCCCATCTCCCCCCCCCCCCCTCCCCCCGCGACGTTTATAATTTGTCTCCTACAAAAAAACGTGTCAGCGTAGATGTGCACATCTACATCCTTATCTGTTGTTACAGGCTCCTGATCTTATGCAACTGTAGTGAGTTTTGGGCGGGTACATTTTAGAAAGTCGTATAGCCTCATGTTGATATGTGTGCTTGTAGGGTCCCCGTGTTGCCCTCTCTTGTTCACCTTACTTATAGCTCACTTTCGTTGCCCTTTCTTGTAGCCCATTCTCGTCGCCCACGTTCGTTGCCCTTTCTTTTAGCCCATTCTTGATGCCCTTTCTCGTTGTCTATTCTCGTTGCTCTTTCTCGCTACCTCATTTCGTTGCCCTTTTTTTGTTCCTCTCTCTTAAAGCTTACGTCAGTATTACCCTCCTACCCCCACCTCCTTTTGAGACGTCCCCCATCCTCCCTTCCATTCTCACATCCTCCCCATGTCCCGTCTACCCCCCCCCCACCCCATGTTGCCCTCTTGTATCTGACACTAACAGGGAGGTAATCGAATTAGCTGCACGTCCCTGCACGTCGCCTGACCGCCCCCCCCCCCCCGCGCAGCCCGGGGCCATCCTGGAGCCGCCATTAGAAGAAGTTGCTCTGTTGGCTCCGTGGTGGTTTTATTTTTACACTGGAAATTGAATTGTGGGGAGAGACAGAAAAAAACGTGCTCAAGAAGGACAGGAAATATGTTTAGAAACTAATGGAGGTTATTAGTTGAATTCACATTGTTATCTTTTGTCTTGTGGGGGAAAAAGTTGTGAAATGTGTGGGAAAGTGTGTGGTTTATCGTGGTGGGAAATCCAACACAATGGAGTTTTGGTGGTGGGGTGGGGGTGTTATCAGATAAATGCTGATGCTGGAAAAAAAAACAACCTCTTCACGAAGAAAATTACCAGTGTATCTGCAGACTAGTTTTTTCCTCTGTGGTGTGTGTTTGTGTGTGTGTGGGGGGGGGGGGGGGGGGAGGCAAGGTGTTGCGGGGCGGTTATAGAAGTGTAAGTTGTGTTTATGACGGGTTGTGTTGTAGTTCTGTTGAGGATAGCCCTGTGGTTGAAAATAAAAGCTCTTTACAATCTAGCTGCAAATAACTGCGCTTTAAATTCTGCATGCAATTTTTTATTGCATGCCATTCTTATTCTAGCTGAAAATAATATCCCTTTACATTCTAGATGCGAATTATACCCTTTACAGATTTGCCGTTTACATATTTTCCTCGTCTCGAATAACACCTGCATGCGATTCGCCCCCCCCCCCCCCGCCTCTCCCCCACACGTTTCGCCCCAATCTAAAATAAACTTTTTTCTAAACAGTTGATGTTACGTTGTATGATGGCTCTACCTAAGAAGCTTTTTTAGTCAAAACTGTTATTGGAGGTTTATTTCCACACCCCTTTTTAGTTAAAGTTTTCATTTGGTAAATTCAACAAAAATTCATTGTCATAATCTTTTCCCTTTCGTACCCTAGACACATGTGGCAGGAAGGTGAGGTAGAGTTAATCTGTTTTAGTGACCTCGTCATTCAAGGAGGTAATGCGATCAGCACTATGCCCAGCCACCATTGTTTCCCTAACGTGAGTTAGCTCCCCTTTAGAGCTGGGTGGACTCAAAAACGTTCTACAGTGACGGGCACACGAACTTTCGGGTTAGCAGGCGTAAGCTCTACCACCCGACCACTCTGTCCCATCACAAGAAATACCGACACGATATTCAGTCGACTCACGCACCATCCTTCCTCAATACATGCTGGATGAACGTGTACCGAGGTGAGTACAAATTAGGGTACTCATCTCCCCCTCCACCCCCCCCCCCTGCACGTGCTTGATGCACGAGTACCGGGGTGAGGGATATAAACACCCGGCTCTCATATGGTGCCCGTGTAAACATTCAGGTGATGAATATACAACACCAGCTAACTATGGTCGTCTCAGTGGTTCTAAACATTGGACCAGTGTACCCCAACACCAGCTAACTACTGTCGTCTCAGTGGTTCTAAACATTGGGCCAGTGTACCCCAACACCAGCTAACTACTGTCGTCTCAGTGGTTCTAAACATTGGGCCAGTGTACCCCAACACCAGCTAACTACAGTCGTCTCAGTGGTTCTAAATATTGGGCTAGTGTACCCCAACACCAGCTAACTACAGTCGTCTCAGTGGTTCTAAATATTGGGCTAGTGTACCCCAACACCAGCTAACTACAGTCGTCTCAGTGGTTCTAAATATTGGGCTAGTGTACCCCAACACCAGCTAACTACAGTCGTCTCAGTGGTTCTAAACATTGGGCCAGTGTACCCCAACAACACCAGCTAACTACAGTCGTCTCAGTGGTTCTAAACATTGGGCCAGTGTACCCCAACACCAGCTAACTACAGTCGTCTCAGTGGTTCTAAATATTGGGCTAGTGTACCCCAACACCAGCTAACTACAGTCGTCTCAGTGGTTCTAAACATTGGATCAGTGTACCCCAACAACACCAGCTAACTACAGTCGTCCCAGTGGTTCTAAACATTGGACCAGTGTACCCCAACACCAGCTAACTACAGTCGTCTCAGTGGTTCTAAACATTGGGCCAGTGTACCCCAACAACACCAGCTAACTACAGTCGTCTCAGTGGTTCTAAACTTTGGACCCGTGTACCCCAACAACACCAGCTAACTACAGTCGTCTCAGTGGTTCTAAACATTGGACGTGTGTACCCCAACAACACCAGCTAACTACAGTCGTCTCAGTGGTTCTAAACATTGGACCAGTGTACCCCAACACCAGCTAACTACAGTCGTCTCAGTGGTTCTAAACATTGGACCAGTGTACCCCAACAACACCAGCTAACTATAGTCGTTTCGCTTTATCGCAGTGGTTCTAAACATTGGACCAGTGTACCCCAACACCACCAGCTAACTACAGTCGTCTCAGTGGTTCTAAACATTGGACCAGTGTACCCCAACAACACCAGCTAACTATAGTCGTTTCGCTTTATCGCAGTGGTTCTAAACATTGGGCCAGTGTACCCCAACACCAGCTAACTACAGTCGTCTCAGTGGTTCTAAACATTGGACCAGTGTACCCCAACACCAGCTAACTACAGTCGTTTCGTTATCTATCACAGTGGTTCTAAACATTGGCACAGTGTACCCCAACACCACCAGCTAACTACAGTCGTCTCAGTGGTTCTAAACATTGGGCCAGTGTACCCAACACCAGCTAACTACAGTCGTTTCGTTATCTATCACAGTGGTTCTAAACATTGGACCAGTGTACCCCAACAACACCAGCTAACTATAGTCGTTTCAGTGGTTCTAAACATTGGGCCAGTGTACCCCAACACCAGCTAACTACAGTCGTCTCAGTGGTTCTAAACATTGGACCAGTGAACCCCAACAACACCAGCTAACTACAGTCGTCTCAGTGGTTCTAAACATTGGACCAGTGTACCCCAACACCAGCTAACTACAGTCGTCTCAGTGGTTCTAAACATTGGGCCAGTGTACCCCAACACCACCAGCTAACTACAGTCGTCTCAGTGGTTCTAAACATTGGACCAGTGTACCCCAACACCAGCTAACTACAGTCGTTTCAGTGGTTCTAAACATTGGGCCAGTGTACCCAAACAACACCAGCTAACTACAGTCGTTTCGTTATCTATCACAGTGGTTCTAAACATTGGACCAGTGTACCCCAACAACACCAGCTAACTATAGTCGTTT